GGTTCAAGGTACATGTTGCCTATACCATGGCCAAGTATGGTATGTCTATGTGTGTTCTTGGAATGGCAGAGGAGTTCAAAGATGAAGGAATTGCTGTCAATGCTCTCTGGCCCAGAACAGGTTTGTTGTTTGCTGAGTTAATTTTTTTTTTTATGTTTAAATCCCAACAATTTTTATAAGTTAATTTTTTTCTAGAGTAAAAAAAAAAGAAAACTAATTTTAAATCTTGTTTGACTCTACTCCTTAGCAATCCAGACAGCTGCTATAGAGATGCTGATGGGAGAAGAATCTAAAGAAGGTTCCCGCAAACCAGAGATCATGGCTGATGCTGCTTATGCAATCCTCACGAAGGACTCACGAAGCACGACAGGACAGTTTTTTATTGATGATGAAGTACTTTTAAAAGAAGGGCTCACTGTGAAACAGATCGAAGAATATTCCACCATTCCAGGTTATTAGTTTGAATAGTCTTTTTATGATAATAAAAAAGCTTCTTTAACTGCTACCAAAGAACAATAAAAAGTCATAATGATTTGTAATGTAATTTAAATATTTGATACTATTAGTATCAAGTATTAGAGAAGTAGTATTTTTATACTAAAATTCCTTGAATTCTAATTTGTAGGAACTAAAGAATTCACTCCTGATTTCTTCCTTGATTTTAACTCAGAAGGTGAACTACTTAAAGTAAAAGATCTGCTCGATAAATATCCTCAGAAGAGAAATATGTCAACCTCTGCTCATCAAAGCAAGCTGTGAGGTATTAACATGTTTTTTCATTGAATTCTCAATTGTTGAAGGTAGTGAATAATTTTTTATGATATTTGATAATTAATAATAATCGTTAAAATTTGTTTTAGTTAAGCAAAAAGAAATCAACTTCTGTTCTGCGTTAATTTGAACATCGGCAGAAGATCTATTTACTACTGAAATTGAATAAGTTTATTTTTCTATGCTTGTTATAAAGTATTTTTTAAACAACAAAGTATTAGAACAGTAGGTTGTCATTGTTCCACCTGTGATATAAAAATATATATATTTATAAATTTAAAAATTGTTTTATTAATCATAATTACTGTTTATAAAAGGTTTTTGTATTCTCTTCCATACTTTTTTTATTAAACTTGTCATGCTGAATTCTGAGATCTTAATACGAATGTAATGACTGCTAATTTGAGCTTGCTCATCATAATGCACTACATTCACAGACAGTCCTATTTATGATAGGAATAAATACTTAACAGTATTTAAATTGAATCAAATTATCTTAAATATACAATCTGTTAACAATACTGGGAAATTTCTGCCAATTAAAAGTTATAAATGATATTAGCATAATTTAGTTTTTAAAAGTATCTCACATTATGTTTTTAAACATTAACATACTTATTTTAGTTCTTCGTCCAATTTCTTTTATAGTTTGTTAGTCTAAGTGCATTAGTATATCTCAATGTTTTTGTTGTCCTATTGCTATTTATGGAAATGTTTTGTGCATATTTAATTTTATGGTTTATAATTGCTTATTATATGGTATATTCTGTGGATTTTCACTGCATAAAAATCCGGGCTCTGTTTATAACTATGCTAACCAAACATAGATAAACCCTTAACTCATCAATCACAAGATAAGGATAACAACAAACCAGGAAATTAATGAATGTTTTAGATATTAAAAACTCATATAATGAACCTGCCATGTCCAAAATTTAAATTACCAATGATAACAAAATGCAAGCAATGTAGTGATTGGAGCACTACTTTTTCAAGTTACATACGAGAAGGAAAAAGCGCATAGTATTTGTTTCTTGGACTATAAATGATAGCTAGTCCCAATACTCCTCCATAAAAAAAGAACTTTTGGTTATTGTTTATACCACAAAACATTTTAGGCCTTATTTTTATGGGGAAAAAATTATGATTCCAATAATCTGTAAACCTTTACTGTAGTTTATATTTAATATTTATATACGTTAAAGAATTAAGTTATAGATATAAAAATTACCATTATTGTGGTGAAGGGCTTCTGTTTTATTCCTAACTAAGGATACCTGTGAGGCCACATCTTTGAAACTAGGGCATAAAATGGTCGGTGTTCCATTTTTAATTTTCCATGGCAGGGCAGATATTGATTGAAAAAATTCCAAGACATTTTAAATTGTCCCTTATAATGTTTATTACTTGTTCATTATTGGTAATACTACTGGTTATATAAAACATATTGGTTTTTTATGAGGGTTCTAAGGAAGGATAAGACATGGATGAGACCCTACTGCCAAGAATATAGGAATTTGAGGTCTTTCCACTACACTATGCCCATAACAGTGTATTCCATAACAATTGGAGAGGTCTCAAGCTTATTCTCCAATAAATGTTGGACAGAATTAATGTTATCAAAACAAAAATTATGAGGACTGGAAAGAGAGGAAACCTAGTTGGATATTGCATAACATTTGGGAGTGAGAACAACAGATGAAACAGTTAAATATCTAGAGTCACAGGCGGATCTACAGGGGGGAGCCTTTCAAAATGGTAAAATATAACCATGTTTTCCAAAAAAAAATATTAAATACTATCTCTTAAAGTATTCTTGTTCGTGTAATTATATTTAATAAGACTTCAAGAACCACTTAAACACTGTTTCTTATAGGTAGTTAATTTCTTTCCTTTTTTTTCAAATTAATTATCGTTATATGTATGTGAAAAAAAATCTTTCAGTCTAAAGCCCCCCAAAATTAAATCCTGGATCCACTAGTGTCTAGAGCCAAATCCATAGCATTTTCAAACAAATTATAACCTTTTCAATTTTAAATATAACTCCTTCGAAATCAAATGTAATCTTTTCTATTTCGAAAGTAGCCTTTAAGGTTAGATTTGAATCAGAAAGAGTTACATTTGGCTAGGAAATGCTATAAATAAGCGGGGTTAGTTGGATGAAGACAATAAAGAAAGGATTAAATTCAGCTGGAACATGGAATAATATTTCTTAGAAAATAGAAGTCTCCAATTTACTAAAATAATATTGTACAAGAATATGTTTCTTCAGATATTGCCACAAGTCTACTAGTCTACTAACAGAATAAATGCCAACCTTAGGTCATGAAGATAAGCTATTTGAAAAAAGTCAAAATAAGAAGAGCATGATAAAAACCAACCTGAATGTAAGGAGCTTAATGAGACCGAAATATTGGCTTAAGTCGTTTGTCTATATTTCGAGAATTTCTGAAGAACGTATGGCTAGTGCAACATAAGTGAAAATGAGGGAGACGGGAGGGAAGAGGAAGGAATCAACTGAAGGAGGCATGCAAGAAGAGGGTATTGGCTGAAGGGGAAAATGGGAACTAGTCTAGGAAATGCGGAAAGGGAAGAAATGAAGCTAACACGAAAAAGGCATAGGAAATGAGGCTAGACATGTTGCCTGACATCATAAAGTGGCGATTAAAAGTTCAAATCAGGGTGCCGAATGGAGTTTAAACTGGAATTAATTCCTCCCTATCTCCCTTGGCCCAGGAAAAAAAAACCGTACATCCGAAAAGGAGAGGAAGAGGGAAAAATTCCAGGAAATTATTACTGAATCAGATTACAAAAATAGAATCCTCACATCTACCGAAGATTAGAAGTTCAATTTCCGTTGCCGAGGGGATGTTTACCTCTGAGATTAATCCCTCTTCCTCTCCCGTGACTCGATAAAAAATCCTAAATCTCTAAAACCACTTAAAAAAAAAAATTCACATCGCAGGGTAGTATTTACAACAAATATTCCCAACATGTTTTGGCTACAAATGTTGGCAAAAAATAAACAAGTTTGTGTTTGTTACTTCTTGTTAACAACCTGCGGAAAATATTGGCAGCACTGACGGATCCAGTACTGAATTTTGGGCGGGAACTTCAGCCCGAAAGATTTCTTTTTGTATGTATATATTACGATAATTACTTCGGAAGAAAGGAAGAAACTAAATACCTATCTGAAGTTCTATTATGTGTAATACGAAGAACAATAATACTTTAATAGAAAATTGTTTTCATAAAACATGGTTATGTTTTACCGTTTTGGGGGAGAGGGAAGGGGATCTTCAGTCCGAAATATCGGCGTTTCTCAAAACTTTTCTTTGCAGTGAAACCCAAATTGAGGAGAAAAAAACATTTCGCGTGACTCTTGTAGGGATAAAACATTTTCTCGGCCCCTTTATCGGACCAAAACAAATTTGAAACATATTGAAAGCGGTACTATGATAGAATATTTACCAATTTATGTTGAAATTCATATTGTCCAAATTAATATTGTCTTAAATTTGATGAATCGGTCTGTTATTAATAAATATAAAATTAAGAATTTTTAGAATATGTATTTAATAAATTGACTTTAAATAATAAACATTGAAATTACATTTTATAGCCATTGCTCCTATAAAATATTACATCCTTTCACTTACATCTACCTGTTCAATATTTGGCTTAGAACTGAGTTGATAAGGTGCCAAGTGAGGGCAAAGTCCTGGCATTTAATGGATCAGGTGATTTGAATTCAGTTTTTTCAGAACTCAAAAAAAATACTTTCATTCACTTGACCCTTCATTTGTTTAGATGGCCTATAACGGAAGGAGATAGCATGTACAATCGATAGTTAAATTACATAAACTGAAAGTGCTGAATCATGATTACAATCTTTTACTATACCTCTTTTATAGATTACGACTATAAATGAAGAAGAGTTACAGATTATTCATTATTTCTCATCAGCCGTTGAAAACAGTGTTTTGTTAATTTAAAATAGTTTTTGCAATACTTTTTGAGGAGGGATTTATATTTGACATTAACATCGACAGTACTATCGATAATTGTATTTAAGAGAGAGGGTACAAGGCTGTTCACGATTAGTCTTATCACCGCTTCAACGTTAACAGGATCTGTCATTTCTTCAATAGCTGTCGTTGCTTCTGTGTGTGCTGTTAATACATCTTAAACCTCTTCTGTATTACTGTTTTATTTAATTTTACTTCAATATGATAAATACTGGGTGTGTACTTTAACAGATTAATTCTGTTATTTATTGTGTGTATTACAAGTCTTTAATAGCTGTCTGGTTATGTAGGAAACTTGCCGGAAAAACACTTTTTATTACTGGAGGTAGTCGAGGAATAGGTAAAGCAATAGCTTTAAAAGCAGCCAAAGATGGAGCAAATGTTGTCATTGCAGCTAAAACTGCTGATCCTCATCCTAAATTACCAGGAACTATCTATTCTGCTGCAAAAGAAAGTAAGATATTCATTATATATGTTTTGTTTTTTTTAGTTTGAGATATTAGCCAATTTTGTTTCCTTGATAAAAGATTTTGTGTTATATGTGTTAACCATGTGATATTCGATATTAAAAACAGTGTATCTGAATGTAGACCAGAGTGACGGAAACATTTGCTAAGGCTCCAATCCCAACTGAGAAGTACCCAGTGATTGTACATCATAAATGACCACAAGACAATTGATTGTTATTCTAAATTCTTAAACAGAAGACATAACATGAATGAGTGGAAATATGAGAGGAATTGGTTGGGAGGTGTAGTCAAATAAATACTAGATTTTTAAAAAATACATAATTACCATTAAAAATACTATTTTTTTAAAATTAAGTATTTATTTGACTGCACCCCTTCTCCCCTCCCCCTACTAACTCATATTCTATCTCGATCATCTCTACATCATTATGAGCGGAAATACGGTTACGTTTCCTAGGACATGGTGCTTATATCTGAATTGTGTGATAGTAAATCGTGTTTATTTTCATTACAAAATATCTAAGTGTAATTTAAAATCTATTTTCATTAGATTTGAGTTTCCTCATTCTAGTCCTAAGTAGCCTAAAGTTGAGATAATTTTTTCTATTTTATGTAAATATGTATTACTTGTTATCATAAAAGTAAATATTAATATTAGCTGAGAGAATACATTTATTTTTGTTGAAAAACCTAACATATACTTTTATACTGTTACTAAAAGATACAATATCTTAAGGACTGATTGGAACTAAATACACAATGTCACAGGATTTCAATGATTATTAATTGTGTAAATAATTTTGGATTTATATGAGCCTATCAGTTGATTAAATTTTTTTTCAGAATTTTACTTGTAATAATATGTCTCATTACGAAATTCTTACCTATTTCTTTTGTAAAAGTTTGGAAGAATTAAAATTTATATTCTGGTTGTAACTATTTATTCAATGCTGAATTATTATATAATTAATTGTGACAGTAATTTTATTTAGTTACCTCACTTGGAAACTGAGAACAACCAAATTTTAGATTGATTTTATTTTATTTTTTATTGTTATAGGTGTGAGGAGGGTCAAACAAAAAAATAAAGTGAAAAGAAATGAAAAAAATGCGATATTGTTACATATGCATATATTAATTTCACTTAATCCATTTCATATAAAAAAAGAAGATAATATATGTATTAAATAAGTAGAGTTTCAGGGTATCGATATAAAGGGAAAAGTCTGAGAATTTGTTTTGCTGAAATAGTCAGGGATTTTTCGTCGAACTCAGAGAATTCTCTAAAAATTTACTGATAATAAAATGAAAAGATAAAAGAAATGATAATAAAAAAATTAAACAGATGTGAAACTTAGGACTACTAATGTTAATTCAATGTTGAAATTTATTAAGATAGTACGGGATGGTAAATCGATGGTCTCCTATAAATTTTATCTCAATCTGCAGTTCCTTCACCAGTTTCCTTACACATGTGCAAATGTATTTTGTTATATATACCTTTATTTCGATGAGGGCTCATTCAATATTTGCTCAGAGATAGAGGGAAATTGAGAATTACCAAAAAAAATGGTGTTGTATTAATTTTATAAAATTCTATGATGAAACTTTCTAAAAGACTGATTGAAGAAGTGTAAAAAAAAATTAGTAGCATCTGTTTAAGATGCTTTAGAGTATTAATTTTTGTTTTCATCTACTATCGACAGTTCTAAAAAAATATGAAATATTTATTGATCTGATAATTTTAGTTTGTGACTATATTTATCAGTTTAATTATTTTATTTATTTTTTTTATTTTAGTTGAAGCAGCTGGTGGCAAAGCATTACCATGCGTTGTTGATGTAAGAGTTGAAGAACAAGTACAGGCTGCTGTAGATAACGCTGTCAAAACTTTTGGAGGCATTGATATTCTTATTAACAACGCAAGTGCCATTTCATTAACTGGCACATTAGATACTGATATGAAGCGATATGATTTGATGCATAACATAAATACCAGAGGTACATTTCTCACGTAAGTATTTCTTTTTTTTATTTAAAACTATTATGTACTACCAATATTTCTAAATATTATTTAAAGAAGCAGCAGTCATTCCTTTTGTTACAAGCATTAAGCTTATGCTGTTAGTTGAGAGAGATAGCAATAGTAGACCCTAGTTGACCTTGTATCTCTCTTTTATCTCTCTGACCTCCTCTGACATGTATCTTACTTGAAAGGCGCACTTATTTACCAATATAACTTATTTGCAGGCTTATTTACCTTTGTCATTAAAGGTTATTGTTTATTTGTACATCAAATATTTTCATTTCATTTCATTTCAAAATAGTTTGTAGCAAAATATAGCATTATTTGTTTTGTGACATTAAAATTGCATGAATCACCTTTTGACAGAATTGTGGCATGACTATCAGTTAAGATTTCCATAATTAATATTGAGGTTTCCATGCACTTTATGGCCAAATGAGAATCTTATTAACAGAAATTTAAGAATTAACAGAATCTTTCTGTGTTCAGGTTTTCATTCTTTCTTACACGGTGGGCCAGACCCCCTTACCGTGCACTCCTCCCCCCCTCACAATCCTATAAATTGCATATCGTTGTGTTCCTTGCAACTATTTATTAAAAAAAAGCCAATTTTCTCACAAAAAAAAGCGAATGCACTGCCCCAAAATGGCGTCCAAACATGGTGGATTGACGACTGTGACTTTAGTTAGTTCTTTGGTCACTGAGAATCAGCATTTGGATTAATTTCCTTTTAGTTGGTCTTTTATTAAAGATGAATAGTCAGAGAATAATAATACACGAAGAATTATTAAAAAATAATTGGTTTAGGCTATGAAAAACATCAGTAAAGTCAATTTTTTAGGCAAAAAAAATTTCAAGTTACAAATCAAGTGTCATTTGTAATTAAACAGCCAACAATAACGCAAAACGTGCTCGAATAAATCACTTGGGGAATATATTTCTTTTTCTAAAACACTGATTACTTTTTAAAATATTTGAAGCGGTTCGGTAGAAAATGCATATAAGCGGCAGAAAAGTGGTACTGGCGTGGGTGCCTATAGGCCTCTACCACACCATTCAGTGCTCATAAATGGCTTAGTTATACTGCTATAATAACATTTTTCGTACATTATATTGATTATATTAACAAACCAATATTAATACAATAATTTAACTGTCCAAAATAATTTAATTTTTTTTTTTTTAATTTATTATTTTTTTTTAGAATTTATTATATTATTTTTTTTATTATTTTTTTTTTTAATTTATTATTTTACAATATTTCTCCAATTCTTCTTTGGTTCATACTATTTATTTTCAAGTTTATTTATTATCAGCCAAAAGGGGTTCAAATGCTTAGGCACTTTTGATGATGTTAAGGGGACGATGCAGGTTTATTATGGAGAAGCCATTTATCATAACTAAGCAATTTATGAGCACTGAATGGTGTGGTAGAGACATGTAGGCACTCACCCCAGTACCGCTTTTCTGCATTTTCTACCGAACCGCTTCAAATATTTTAAAAAGTAATCAGTGTTTTAGAAAGAGAAATATATTCCCCAGGTGATTTATTCAAGCACGTTTTGCATTATTATTGGCTGTTTAATTACAACCAACACTTAATTTTTGACTTGAAAATTTTTTTGTTAAAAAGATTGACTTTACTGGTGTTTTTTATTGCCTAAGCCAATTATTGTTTAATATTTTTTCATGTATTATTATTCTCTGACTATTCATCTTTAATAAAAGACCAACTATGAAGAAATTAATCCAAATGCTGATTCTCAGTGACTAAAAAACTAACTAAAGTCTAAGTCGTCAATCCGCCATGTTGGGACGCCATTTTGGGGCAGTGCGTCCACTTTTTTTTGTGAGAACATTGGCTTTTTTTTAATAAATAGTTACAAGGAACACAACAATATGCAATTTATAGGGATGTGGGGGAGGGAGGGTGCACGGTAGGGGGGTCTGGCCCACGGACTATCTACTATTATATTCTGATATTGCTTAGATAATCCTTGAAAACACATTCAAATGGGAGACGTAATTGTATAGTTCCACCAAAAGACTAAGGTAAATAATGAAAAAGTATAGAATAAAATCTGCAAATAATAATTTAATTAAATGATATTTTACTTGAATAATTAATATTACAACCAAGAGTGTCCCAAAAATGAGTTGTCATAGAGGGCAAACAATTTCACTTAAATGATGTCTCTGTAAGAGAACCGCCATTCCAATAACCAAAATGCTACCTAGCAATAAACCTATTGCTAAATAAAATATAAAGAAAGCTATTGTACTCAATTCATACTTTTCATGCAATTTATAATTTTCATTAGTCTCCCAGACAATTGTTTTCAATTTTTTTTTTTTTTTTTTATCGTGCATCTACAATTCGAAAGACTATTTTTAAATTCTGAATGAGCTTTCGAAATATACTTCAATACTATAAATTTACTTAGAATCCTAAGATGGATGTATGTTTCCCTACAATTCCAAGATAAGACAATTGATTAACAGAAATGAAATTCATGATGAGTGCTAAGTAACTTATACTCCATCATTCATACTTTTCATAAGGAACAATAAAACCAATTTTTAATTGTTGTATGAGAAATGCTCATGGCTATTCTTCTTATGGGGTTGGTTGATGCAGTTTTGAATCTTTTTTTAAAGTTTCTTTTTCTTTTTCAGTTCGAAAATATGTATACCTCACCTCATGAAAAGCAAAAACCCACACATCCTTAACCTCAGCCCTCCACTTAACCTGAATCCGTTGTGGTTCAGAATCCATGTTGGCTATACTATGGCGAAGTATGGTATGTCTATGTGTGTTCTTGGAATGGCAGAGGAGTTCAAAGATGAAGGAATTGCTGTCAATGCTCTTTGGCCCCGAACAGGTTTGTCGTTTACTATGTTAATTTTTACTTTCATTTACCTAAATATGCAATATATAGTAAGGGAATAGTATTGTGATAGTGAATAAATTTGAATCTATGTTTTAAAGGAAATATTGGTTTTAGGATCCACTCAGTCCAAATTACCAATTTCCATAAAATGGTCTATGTGTATTTGAACAGACTAGCTCAGAATGAAAAATCGCATGCAACTGAAATTTTATATTTAAGGTTTACGTATGCCTGCAATGTTACAGTAACTTTTTTTGTCAAAATCGTCCAACTGGAAGTGCCTTTTTATATCATTGATTTTATACATTTTTATAATTTACCCGAAAATGGTTCTAACAATTTTGATTAGATTTGATCACTGTATTATTAAGGGGATTTTAATTAAAGGTATGTTATATTCTCATCGATACAGCCTGACAAAGCTTAAATGGCGAATTTTAAAAATTTCTTCCTCCTAAGTACTTCTGATTTTGTATATTTGAAATAGTTAACAACTTTATATTATACCTATTTCACACCTGGAATAAAAAATTGTTAAATATATACTATGTAAGAATTTGATAATTAACTAAAGGAGAAATAAGGGATCGTAATAGGGAACCAAAGAAACCTGAGTGCACACCCGAGCTTGGCCAAAAGGTTAGAATAGACTTCCATACTTAACACGTGCTTAATATAATAAGAGCTCCGATAATATTCTGTATATAAAATGCTGCCTTCATAAATGCTATAGTTGTTATTATTTAATATATAATTATAGATTACAGCAATATAAAAATTAAAATTTGTATTTATACCAGTGCTTAAACAAATAAAAATGCCCACAATGAAATATTTATAAATATAACGACCTTTATTAGTAGCACTCTTATTGGATTAAAAGTATTTTGTGGCACTTGAATTATTTATTATAATTAAACTAGGGTAGGTACTCTCTGTCCTCCTAATGGCGGACCAACCTTCTATTTTACAAATTCTGGAACTTTTCATTTAATTGTACTACTCCTTGCTCAAGTTGTATAACTATAATTTACATGTATTCTGTAGCTCAGGTTGTATTTTAAAAAAAAATTAAAATAAAATAAACTGAACGACCACACAAAGACAGAACCACAGTTCTGACAAATTTTTAATTAAAAAAAAAAATCTATATTATACATCCCGCCTTATTGTCAATTTATGTAGTTATAATTATTCTTATTGCCAAGTTGTAACCTTATTATATATTCAACTTGTTCAGCTTCAAATATGCCCAACATCAATTTAAATCATTTATTTCTAGTATTTTCATTGTATTTATATTGCAGTTATATTCTACTTCCTTTTCTATTTCATAAAAATTATAACTATATGCCAATATAATATAAAAAAAATATATAATATAATAATTAATGTATTATTTTCTTTGGGAAAATGTCTAGATTGAAAAATATCTGCTGTCACATAGGTAAAGTCAAACTATCACCTCCAGTTAAATAACATTTTCCATACAAATTTTTGGCCTAAAATCTTTATTTTGTATTAGAAGAGTAAAATTACAGGAGGTAATTAAATGAACAGCTGTATAATTAGTGATAATTATTGAGCTAATAGAAGAGCTCCTGTAATCTCCTACTCTCCTGATACTAAAATAAAATAAAATAACGAAAGTGACTAAAAACTTTTTTATATTATGGAGATATGAAAAATTAACATATATAAATAGCTTGTGACAAAAAAAAGCATAAATTTAATACATGACTGTGGGAAACAGTTAGTAAATAATTATTTTAAATTAAATGTTATACCATCTTTAATTTCCCTTTGTCTGAAAATATCCATTTCTCCTAAAAGAAGGTTGATAGGTAAAAGTTATGTGATGGACACACTGCACTAGATTTCTTTTTACTGTTGAAATCTCAATAATTTTTATAAGTTAACATTTTTTTTAGAATAATATTTTAAATATTGTTTGACTCTTTTCCTCAGCAATCCAGACAGCTGCTATAGAGATGCTGATGGGCGAGGAATCCAAAGAAGCTTCCCGCAAACCAGAGATCATGGCTGATGCTGCTTATGCAATCATCACAAAGGACTCACGAAGCACGACAGGACAGTTTTTTATTGATGATGAAGTACTTTTAAATGAAGGGCTCACTGTGAAACAGATTGAAGAATATTCTACCATTCCAGGTTATTAGTTTGAATAGTCTTTTTATGATAATACAAAAAAATCTTATAATTTTTCTTTAACTGCTAACAGAGAGCAGTAAGAAGTCATAACGATTTGTAAAGTAATTTAAATATTTTAATATTTGATGCTATTAAAAAAAAAAAATTGAAGCAGTATTTTTTTACTAAAATTCCTTGAATTCTAATTTGTAGGAACTAAAGAATTCACTCCTGATTTCTTCCTTGATTTTAACACTGAAGGTGAACTACTTAAAGTAAAAGATCTGCTCGATAAATATCCTAAGAAGAGAAATATGTCAACCTCTGCACATCAAAGCAAGTTGTGAGGTATTTACATTTTTTTTTTTCAATTTCATTATTGACAGTTTTATTTATAATTGTTTTTATTAAAGACTTTTCTAATATTGTGCTTTTCCTTGACCTAAATATCTTTTAAGATATTCTTCTATCCTTCTCTATCCAAGGTTGGCTCTTCTCTGATGGCATGTCCCGTCTTACTTTCTTTCAGCTCGTATCATGCCTAAGCCTGCATAATATTTTTTCTTCAATTTTGTGCAAAAATGTTCTTTTTCGTCTATCAAATCACTTCTGAATTTGTTTTAATATGGTACTAATTCTATAGCTATTTGCCAAATATAATCTTTTTTTTAAAACCTGTTCAGTACCTAGAGTAAAGATTTTTTCAGGGAGAGACAAAGTTAATATTTATTTTTTTCACCTCGAAAACCCCTTAAGTACAAATTCTTATGGCAATCTAAAAATAACAATTTTTATCTAGGCTGGATCCTTTGAAATTTTTATTAACAACCATAAAAGTTGTGATAACTTCAAGATGACTCCACCAATCCACACAATTTTTTTTTCAGATTTAGGGCCCTCCCTATACGGTACATAAAATGATAACTCGACTTTGGTAAACAAACTAAAACCAATGATGCAAAATAGAAATGTTTGACAAGTTTTTCTTTATTTCTAGCTTACATAGGAATAGAATATAAAAAGAACAGTAATTCACTTTCCAACATCGTACTAACGTTATACCTGGAGAAAATCCTGAGAAGTTAGAAATGCTGTAATTAATAGAAAAAAAAAAAAAAAAAAAAATTCAAGAAAGTCAAGTACTAAAGTTTAAAATTTTTTATTTCTATGAAAATTCATATTCAGAAGTTTTAAAGGATACTCAAAATGAATTTAATTTGCTTATTCATAACAAAAATATACTTAGCCTATATTACTAGAAGTATCTTTCTATTTTCTAATTTATGATATATAACTCGTTTAATACCATAGGCAATATTTTTTCTTATTCTTCACACACACAAAAAAAGAAGAAAATAAATTAATTGGAATATAATATCCTAAGAATCTGTTCATAGTAAAGGCAAAAATAAAATACATTTTTTAGAAATAATAAAATACAAATTATAATATATAATTTTTTCTTGGCTCTTGAAGCCCTAGGACATATGTCGATGTAGTATAACAATAAAAATCTATGGCTCAAATCAGTCACCCACTGACTGTGATCTCTGCTTCCAAGTTGTGGGAGGGAAGTAAAAAAATTACTATTCTATTTCTATGCATATGATTGTAGTAACATGTTCACTTGTTAATTCTTTTGTTTCAAATATTTCGAGATGTATTATCATAATATATTTTTGGTTTCTATCCCAACAATTAATATATTGTTAATGTTATATATAATGATTTGGTTTATCCACATTACAGTTATTAATTTTTATGATATTTTGAAAATTAATAAAAATAACCCTTAAAATTTGTTCTAGTTAAGCAAAGAGAAGTCAGCGTCTGCTCCACGTCAACTTGAATACCAGACGATGCATTTACTACTGGAATTGAGGAAGTTCACTTTTCTATGTTTTTTAAAAAGTATTTTTGTACGTTTTTTAGAAAGTATTTTTCAACCAACTAAATATTGTTGACAGTAGATTGTTATTGGTTCATCTGTGATGTAAAAATATATATATATATATCTTTTTTATGAATTTAAAAATATGTAAAAATATATGTACCTTTTTTATAAATTCAAAAAATACTTGTTGTTTTGATTATGATTCCTATTTATAAGCCCTTTTTATATACTTATTTTCTTTTTATAAATTTATTCATATGTTTTTTTATTCTGTTTGATACTTCTTCTATTTCTAAAATTCTTAGATTGCAATCGTCTCTTTAAAGTTCTATGTAGTCCCATACAATTTTAAAACTCATTAATTGTAGAAGTTTTTCCTCCTAATTTTTTCTCACCCGGAGAAGGTCTATACTCAGTAAATCAAGCCATGATATATTTTATTCACACAATGTACATCTACGCTTTATATAATACAGCATTTAAGATCCCATTTCTGACTCCGGAGTAATGGATTTCGATGAATGAGGCACCTAAGGAATTTCAATTTCATGGAGAAGTAATGGATAGCAATTTAAAAATGTGAAATCTTACAACTGCAATAAAATTTATAGAAAAAAATTAGGAGATTTCAAAACTAAGATGCTATTAAAAGTCAATGGAACGAGATAGGATAAAATATGTTTTATCTGAGAATTCTGTCAGCCAAGCAGGCAAAGAATTCTGTTACCAATCATAATAATTATTTTGTTGTTCATAGAAATCATTGTTGTTTAAATTAATTGATATACTGTTATAAGAATAAGTTATGAGGAGATAATATACACTATAACAAGATATTCAAAAAGTTATGAATATTTATTTATTTTCAAGTTAATTTATTATTAGCCATATTTACACCAATTTAAAAAAAAAAAAATTTTTGTCACTTAATGACTACTCATCAAAATGACGACGTTTCGGCTCGTCGAGCCATTTTCAAGTCTAACAAAATTTTTTCATTTACAATCATATATCTACTTTAACATATTTCAAATTATAAAGATACTTATTATGTACCTAAAATACTTGAAAATGGCTCGACGAGCCGAAACGTCGTCATTTTGATGAGTAGTCATTAAGTGACAAAAAATTTTTTTTAAATTGGTGTAAATATGGCTAATAATAAATTAACTTGAAAATAAATAGTATGCACCGAAGAAGAATTGAGTAATATTGTGAATATTTATTTATTTTTTATATTAAAGTTACAATTATAATGTAAAGAACAAATGTAATTTGATATCATTTTTAAAGGAAATTCTCAGAGATAGCTTAAATTACGCCATTATATCCTATTTATATTATGGTACAGAATATAGTAGATTTTGGAAATATTTCAACATTGTACAAAGCCCCCAGCCTTAGGTTTAAGGGTGTTGCGTATTGCATTTTTTCTTTAATTAAGTAAGTTAATAGTTCATATATGGAAGTTAATATATGACTTTAACTACCATCAAAAGCATTGACCAGGTTGTAGTATGAGTAAGCACTATTCATTACCTGTAACAAAAAAAATTATAAATTAAAGCATGTATTGGTTGACTAATTTACTTTTAAAACGAAGGGCAAAAGCTAATGTTCTTAAATAAATGTTCCTAATACAATTAGTATACCGGTAATTAAATATAAAAATCTGGTGCGGTGAGTGCACAACTTTCACTTAAACCTCTTATTTTAGGAAAAATAGGTATTATTAGACAAAGAGAAGAGAAAGTAAAAATTACAGATGGTATAAAATATTTTTCGAAACAATCAACTTCCATATATTTTTCACAGCCATCTAGTGTATTATACTTCTGGTTTTTTTTTTTCGCCAAGGCTTGCTTTTGACGATTGTATGTATTTTAATTATCTAGTTGATTATAATAAATAATCAAGTGCCAGGAATTATTTTTAGTCCGATATGAGTTCCACTGATAATGAATCAGTCTGATTAGAATCAGTCAGAGGCTGAAGCGAATCCACCAAATTGTGGACCAAGTGGAAAGAAAAGAGTTCTGAAGTCCATCATTTTAAAAATCCTCAAGTACAGACTGAATCCCAAATTGAGCTGATAAATAAATTCGACCCCTTGAACGCGGATGGCCTCACAACACAGGGTGCACTACGTCATGATAAAGCCAGTTCTGCTGTAGGACTGTGAAACCTGGTTAGAGGTTAACCAACACCTTGGAAGGAAGAACTGAGAGATTCAAAAGAAAAGTAATTCGTACGTCAGGACCTATCTCGGATCAAAACCTTAAAACATGGAGGAGAAGGAACAATAAAGAACTGCTAAAAGAAACTGGCCAGCCAGTATCTCATGATATGAAGGCAAGGAGGTTAAGATGGGCGGGACATGTTGCTCCAAGCAATCCATCAGGACGCCTTTAAACAACAATGAATGCCAGAGTATTAGGTAAGAGATCATCTGGTAGGCCTAAAACCAGATGGATAGATAAGATTAATAAAGATAAAGCTGAGCTTCATGCCCCAAACTGGAAAGCAGTAGCCCAAGATAGGCAGAGGTGGAGAAGGCTGGTCCAGGCGGCCAACCGAAAAAAACAAATATATATATTTTTTAACGTATACTCATGGTTTCATTTTCGGAAAATTCAGTCCACAACATAAAAAACCAAGTAAATGTTGGAATGATGTAGAATCTGCAAAAAAAATATAATTACTGTAGAGAATGTCTCCATGTTGGCAGGAACTATTCCACCAACCGTCATAGTTAATGGTTTGAGCGTCACCTCCTGGAAGATCTTCAAATTACTCGTGACTTTCGTATCACATAGATACCATTTGATACTGTATATCTTGAATCTCAGGTCAGAACTCTGAAAATCAAAAGAAAAAAAAAAAGAAGTAGTTTATTATAAGTTGATATATATCTATTAATTAATTTTAATCAATTAATAGTTAATTAATTAATAGGGCGCGAAAGTATTTTTATCCAAGTATCAATTGTCAGGTTGCCGGGCAACGGTGCGGTGCACACTCCTTTCTGCAACCTCGCCTCCACACTATCATTTAACCCGAATCTAACGTTTACCAAGTTAGTACTTTAAGGACTATAATTCGTCTTTTGGAAATAAAATCTACAGAAGAAGCCGTTTCGGAAGTACAGGCTTGTCAAGGAAAAACGCACGCCCAAGCGAAAAAGAAGTAAAAGAAGAAGAAATGTGATGCAATTGATATTTGACCATCTGAGTACCAACATTCACAATTCCTCAAAATTTCGTAAAATCGAATAAACGGCAGTAGTCTCATGGATTTGACAATAGAATACGGTGTAAATTTAATTTTTAAATACGGTCTAAAATCTTATAGCCACACACAACTTCAGTTTAGATGTAACCTCTCTTTTTACTTCAGTTCGTTCTTTACTACATTTCAAAGTTAATTTATGCTTAATAATTATTTACATTAATCTTAATTGTTAAATGCAATTTTGTCATATTGATACTAGACTTCGGCCACACTTCGGGCCAAATCGAGTCAGCCGTTTATGAAATTCGGATGTATCTAGGGAAATATGTTTGCGCATTCCTAAGCGTAAACATTTTTTGAAAGTAGTGGATAAAATTTGATAAAAATGATTTACTGGATACTTTTTTCACCATTTCTTAACTTCCCCCCAACTTTCGGTCTAATCGAACGCATGTTTTTTGAGATTTCTTTTTTTTACATTATTGTTAGTTCCACTGTCCATGTAAATCTAAATGTGATTAACTTACAGATACATATGTATATTGTTTGTTGGAGCACGGATAGCCTAAAGGAGATCACCATACCTCAAGTTGCTATGCAGAGGGAGGCCACCCATGATCTCCGATTTTTTCTAATTGGCTTGCTCTGTTTTTAAGAAAAGACGAGCAATAAAATATCTTGTCTGTTGTGGCACATGCTGTTCATACCGCGAAGCAACTGTAGGAAAATATTTACCTGCGGAGACTACTGACATCTTGGAAAACCATATCGCGATTCCCGATTAATTACACAATGTACTGTCACCCCTACGACTGGTCGGCGAGTTGTCTCCAGCAGTCTGACGGGCTCACATACCAGGCGAAATCTCGTGCAGCGTGTTTTACCTCAGGAGACAATCACATGATTATTCGGGCGGTAATCCATCCAAATACTTACGAAAAACTTGCTTAACTAAACGAGTCATAGAGATGTACTATAGATCATATCTTTTTTCTACTATGTCTGTAAGAATTAGATTGATCTCTATTTTATTAACAATATATTTATTTTATTTAAATTTAAAACCTCGTAAACCAACGACTGCCTGTCCTACAGTTTCCTTTAACAATACTCCACTTATCCCTATTGAGCAAATTAGATACCCAGGACTCCAACTGGACAAGCGACTAATTTGGAATCCTCATACTAGACTGAAACGACAAGAAACCGCTCGACGTTTCCGATTACTTCAGCACTTACTAGACAAAACGCTCTAAACTTCCCATTAATTACAAAAGACTCATATACTTGACTATAATAAGACCTATTTGGACTTACGGAGTTGAGCTATGGGGCTCCACTAAACCATCGAATTCCTCTCGCATCCAATCCTTACAATTCAAAATCCTTCGTAAAATCCTCAATGCTCCTTACTTTGTCACTAATAAAATTATCCATAAAGATCTTAATGTTCCTTATGTTTCAGATCTGGCCCAATCCAGATACCTATCCTTCCATAATAAACTTCACAATCATCCCAATCCTCTCGTTTCTAACCTTGCTTCCTCTTCAATTTCTGATAACCCTCCGAGGCGTCTGAAAAGAAGATGGCCCCGTGATCTCCTAATGTAGTCATATCATTAGAGTGCTACCATTGGGTAGTTACTCAGCAAGTGTATTCATATCATTATATCTATTATGTCCAAATTTACTAGATGTATTTATTTAATAAAGTTGTAAATATCATTAAGAAATAAAAAAAAAAATTTAAAACTTGTAAGTAATTGGGATAAGCTAGTTCAAGGAGATCCATTTTTGAAAAGAATGTGAGTAAATCCAATGTGACAAAAAGGTTTACCAAGTCACTCAACCTCTGGCCGAAGACGGAGAAAAGGAACATGTAGCCAATTTCGACGCCACACAGTATCATCGAAGCTACCGTAGTTCCGGGCAGTTCTTTCGCCTAGCAACATGAACGATTATCAATTAAAAAAAAATAAAACTGTAGAATTTATTATTAGTCTCAATAAGCATCGATATAAATATTAAGCAAATACATACCGAGCCAGCAGATATTAGACTTAGAGCAATAACTATGGTGCCAGTCATGTAAGCCAGAAACACAGGTATAGACGCCAACTCTTCAAATATTTTAAAGGCACTGAAATGCAACAATAAACAAAACAATTAAAAATATATATCAACCGAAATGAATGGCCCAAAAATATGGTTTTAAATTCTTGTATACTTCATACAAAAATGATTTAAGCAATTCAGATTAAATGCTTATGTGATCAGAATGCTGTCGTGGTGATCTGTGATCAATTTATATGAATCGGTACAATAAATTCATCTTTTATTTATATATAAATCATGAATTTATTGAGAAAATCATTAAGTGGCATTTAATGACCTTAAATAATTAAGAACATAGATCAGTTTGCCATTGTGAAATCAAACAATTATTCGCTTGCTGTAACAATATTTAATAAATGAAAGGGTACGTGTAATTGACATCGGCGCTGTCTTTGGAGGGCCATATATCGAGAATGTCGTTTCACTCCTCCCCTCCCCCCACAAATTGAAGTAAAAAATAACTAATAACAAATAATCTATATTAATGAATAAAATATATAAACTAAAATCGATTAAGAAAATAGTAAAAGTCGACTACCGGCTAGGATAAGGCCGAGAAGTATGTAAATAGGTATTTTACGACGACATAAATGTTCTTAATATTTAATTTTAATTTATATTCAGAGAATATTTTACATATATTTCAATCTTTATATATTATTTATCGAAGGTGTTTTTCTGTTGCAACGCCATAAGTTCGTCAATTCTTCATCTAATGTAACGAATGAACCCTCATTTAGAAGATAGTTTTCTCCTTCAAGTTGAAAAAATAGTCACCTTCCCACGAAATATCAGGAAAAAAGTTATGAAGGAAAATAAACTTTATTTGCGAATAAAACGTCAACACGTATGCGAATCAATACGTATGCTTTTTTTTCTGGATTGGATCCATGATTAATTGAAACATTATAAATTCGATACAAAAAAAAAAAGTAAAAATTGGATAATTATTACTAAAGATACAGTCCATTAGATTCGATATACATTCCTAGTTGATATTTATTTCATTATTTCTTAAAGGCATTTTCTTGTTGGTATATTATATATTTTTTAATAATATAGAAAATTCTATTATTGAGGCCTTATTTTGGTATGTTTGGTAATATTAAACGTTTAGAAGAAGGCCCTTGAAAAGTAATTTGAACAAATATATTGGTACGACGAAGTTTTTCTACATCAAATATGAGAATAATTGAACTGCATAAATATTTAAGTAGATATATTCGATTAGTTAGTGATAAATTATTTGGTATGCCTCTTTGATTTCCATTTCCGATGAATTATGAATTTATTATTGTTAGAAAATATTATTATAATGATTGGAAAGCGAGATATATCAATAATGGTGGTATATGAAATTATCTACTCTCTATAAATATTAAAAGTTCACTTATTTTACTTTCTGCTAAGATTACAAGGCAAAAAATAATCGTAGCTTGTTTCTTCCCAACTAATAAAATTTTATTGCCCGAAAATTAAAATTTTTTTAGTCTCTCTTGTTCGCCTGAATTGGTGATTTTGTCCAATGTGCGGTGGAAAAAAGTTATAAAAAAAAATCGAAACGATCACCATAAACGTTCTTTGAACCAGGTTAAGGATTATCACTCATAAGATTACCACTAGATTCTGGCATAATTTGTCTGTAGCTTATCCTGCTAACAAGATAACCATAAAACGTACGGGGACTCAAATGTGGCTTTAAGAGCACTGCAATAAGTTATTTAAAAGGCCTGGATACTTCTAGCAGAGACCAATCAATATGAAATTATAAAATATTTATGCTTTTTCTGAAAGTTCTTAATAAAACAACACAAAACTTTATTTTACCGTACATATGTATCAATGTTAGAGCAAGTAAATGTTGTCACGAATATAAGAAACATGTTCGGTTAAATTCAGATAGCCCAGCTTTCATTCCTACCAAGCAAAATCCACGTATGAAAGAGGTTTAAATTGTATACTTTTTGGGTCATACACAAAGTTTTCTTTTTACTTTCACTTACTTATATATGTAATATATAGTCAGGGTAAGTATTGCGATCGTGAAAATTTTCGAGTCTGAGTTTTCAAAGGAAATACACGTTTTGAGGTACCCTGAGTCCAAATAACCAAGTCCCGAAAAATGGTCTGTGTGTTTGTGAACACTCTAGCTCAAAAACGAAAAGTCTTACGAAACTGATATTACGTATTTAAGATAGATATGTGCCTTAGATGTTCTAGCAACTTTTTCCTTAAAATCGGCTTATCGGAAGTGCCACATTATATCAACGCTGAAACACATTTTTACAATTTTCTCAATAACGGCTCTGACGATTTTGATTAAACTCGGTGTATCATTGAATAATTAAGTGGTCTGCAATACTATTTAGGTCTTATCTCCGTTGATGTCACTTTACAGGGCTTGAATGCCCAATGTTCATATACGTCTTCCTTTAAAGTACGTTTAATATGGTTCATTTCAAATAATTAATCATCTCTCATTATTAAGAAAAAATGCTTAAAAAAAAAACTTTTGAAAAAATTTGATAATTGAATAAAGGAGAAAAAAAAAATGCTTATCCAGGTCGAAGATGAATCTCAGGAAATAACAGCCAGAAGGTGTACGTATAATATATCATTGGAAAGCGGAGAATATACAAAAAAATACCTAATATAGAAAGTTGTAGAAGGTAACGGAGAGTGACGAAAAAAATATAAATAATAACTTCTAAAACCTAAAATTATTTAACGTAAATGAGGTGTTTTCAAGGAAATTAAATGAAATTTTCTCTTACTAAATGTAAACTTTTAAAATTTTTATTAAGTTTGAAAAAGTATTTAAAACCCACGGATTTAAGGTAATGACAATGTTTAAAATACTATTTCATTGTACTTGTGTGAAAGAAAAAGTGAAATATAAAAATATTTCATGGATACGTTTATAACCTTAAATTTATTTACTGTAGTTTAATAACTCTAGATCTGATATTATATTTAAATAATTAGGTATGTATCGTCCGTTTATTCCGAAAAAAAATTATGTAACCTTTTAGAAAATAAAATTAGTGAATAATTTGATAAATTTTCCCATTGCGATATTCCAACAGACTTACAATCAGTGTGACAACTTTTGACCTGTCTATGACAGACAATGCAAATCTTTTAATTCCGTTTTATTGCAATGAAAAAAACATTTTAATAACTAATAGCCGTACGATCCATAATCAACGAATCGTATAATCTATAATCAACCGGTTATATAATAAATTTTGTTATTTTAATAATATTTATGATTTATATGATTTGCTCAGTTAAAAATGCAATTCAAAAATTTTATTATAGCCCATCATGCTCAGAAAATAATTTTTATTTAAAGTTGAGCGGTAAGTGAAAGTTGTGTGTAGCGCGCACCAGATTTGTTTCATATACTTGTACCTAGATTTTTCTGCTGTGCTCATTTTTTGGTGTTAGTGGAGAAGACATTAAAATAATGACCCGAAATGCAACAAAATACTTATTGGTTTAATTTCATGAAATGTCACTTAATAACCTTTGTAAAAATCGACGATATAAAGTTTGTATTTTTGAATAAACCAATAGTTAAATGTATGCCATTTTGATGACTTTATCGCCGATCAGGTGGACACATAGATGCCTGATAAAAGTAAGAAGAAACAGGTGACGGAACGGTGGCCATTTTATGCTAAAAGAAGAAGAGGAAGACATCGGATGACATGGAGAGACGAAATAACAAAGGTAGCAGCTATAAACTAGATGAGGAAAGCTGATTCAAGAACAGAGAGGCAAAATTTGGCCTTTGCTCAATACTAGGCATAGATCAGAAATTTTTATTTTTTTAGTGATTTGTAGTTTTAGTTTTGTTTTCCAGTGTATTTATATTTGATTTAAATTAAATTTAACCTAAGAAATGTATTATTTTATACTATTACAAATAAAGACCGTTGATATTTATTTCATTCTTTCTTAAAAGCATTTTTTTGTTGGTATATTTTATATTTTTTAATAATATAAAAAATCCTATTATTGAGACCTTATTTTGGTATGCTTGGTAATATTCAACGTTTAGAAAAAGGCACTTGAAAAGTAATTTGAACAAAGTTTTTCTACATCAAATATGAGAATAATTGAACTACCTAAATATTTAAGTAGATATATTCGAGTAGTTAGTGAAACATTATTTGGTGTGCCTCTTTGATTTTCATTTCCGATGAAAAATAAATTTTTCATTGTTAGAAACTGTTATAATGATTGTAAAGTGAGTTATGTCAATAATGGTGGTATATGAAATTAGCTACCCTCTATAAATATTAAAAGTTCACTTATTTTACTGTCTGCTAACATTGCAATGCAAAAAATAATCGTAGTTTGCCTTTTCCCAACTAATAAAATGTTTGATTATTAAGTTGTTTGATTATTATTTTTTTATTATTCTACTTTTGTTAATTTTATGTTTTCTGTATATATGGTGTGAATGTGTTCATATCTCACTATAATTATTGAAAAAATAGTCACCTTCCCACGAAATATCAGGAAAAAAAGTTATGAAGGAAAAGAAACTTTATTTGCGAATAAAACGTCAACACGTATGAGAATCAAAACGTATGTTTTTTTTTTTTCTGGATTGTATCCATGATTAATTGAAACATTATAAATTCGATACAAAAAAAAAAGTAAAAAATTGGATAATTATTACTAAAGACACAGTCCATTAGATTCGATATACATTCCTAGTTAATATTTATTTCATTATTTCTTAAATTCATTTTCTTGTTGGTACATTTTATATTTTTTAGTAAAATAAAAAATCCTATTATTGAGGCTTTATTGTAGCATGCTTGGTAATATTCAACGTTTAGAGAACGGTCCTTGAAAAGTAATTTGAACAAATATTTTGGTCTATTATGTTAAATGATGACCAACAACTAACATAAAATTCGTTCCTCACATAGTACATAAGATCTACTTATTTCCATATTATTTTGCTGTTTCTTCACTAAACAATATATTCTGCGAATCATTCGCACA